ATTTGGAATAAAGTCTCTTAGATAGTCTTGGTCTAAGAATTTAAAATACCACAATTATTTCTCCCCCCCCCCCCCGAATGAGAATGGAGCCAACACATTCTGTTTGAATAGTTATTGTTATCTACCAACATCAAGTGAGAGAAGAGGTCAGACAACCTAAATGGTTTTGCTTCAAGAATGAAAAATTGAGTATATTTAAATCATTTTTTTGTCAAACAGTCGGCTCAATCACGTATCAGAATGGAGAATAACCTTGTCAAGCCTAGGCCGAGCTATGAAGATATACTAAATGCCGTAGGTAAATTGAAATCATCACCACACAACCCCCAATATGATCCAATCAGGTACTAAATTAATGATATGAATTCTTTCCATCTCACACACACAAAAAACAGTTTATAAAATGTGATGTGTTTTCATTTTTTTCAGGGAGATGATCATCGATCTGTTTATCTCTGAGCACGGTCGTTATTTGTTGGGTGCGGCGCTTAGAGATCGTGATATTTCGGAAGCAGCTATACTGAAGCTAGATGGGAGATTTTCAGAGGAAGACTTAATGGCGGTGAGATCAATAATATATATATAAATACACACACACACACACACACACACACTAGCATGGCACACACTTCGTGTATGGGTGCCCAAATTTTGGGCAATTCATTTAAGTGAAAAGGGAATATAAGCATACAATTTACGACAGTACTTAACAAAGAAAATGATAAGGTGTATTTAGCTCATACCACACCAAAAGGAGGACGCAAGGCTTGTCAAGAACAGCAAACCTATATCAAAACTCTGTTCACATAAACTTTAAGTCACAACCTTCAGTGAAAAACTCATAAAGGAGTACCTTGTGAATTGTTTTAAAGGGTTTCCTAACTTATTTGAACACGTGTTTTTGCTCAAAAGACCTGCTTAGTACGACTGGTCTCTAGGTTTAGGTAGGAGCACTCCATTAACCTCAATACTTTTAGTCATATTTTTTTCGTTTGAATTGCCTTGGTCAACACAGTGAGATTGTTTTTCAAATTTGCTCATGACAGAAATTAACATTTTTTTTAGCATGTGCTATAAGCATAGCTAGTCCTTATAGCATCATGTAAGTAAATTCAAGCAATTTAAAGTCATAAACATTATATCAAAAATATTAGGTCCAAGATTATTGTTGACACTTAAAGGAAACACACAATCAGGTCTTCTGTAGTCATTTTAAATGACACATAAAACCATGTTGGAGAGCGGCTCTCAGTTCTGTATAGGATAGAAACATCACAGCCTACCTTCGAGACATAAGGATATAATACATACTTATTATGGATGTATTGATCCTATGTTTCTTTGTTTAAGTCTATAAAGGGGCCTTAAGAGGAATGAATGAATGATACTATAACATGTGGATAAATGGAAAATCAGAATCAGGCTTGTTGTAGACATTTAAAATGACAGAAAAAAAAACAGTGCTGGAGAGTAACAATTTAGTTCTGTATAGAATTGAAACATCACTGCATACCTTTCAAACTTAAGGATAGTATATAAACTTATCATGGATGTATTGATCCTATGCTTTTTTTAAAGTACAAAGGGACCTTCCAGGCCCAAAGGCCTAATAGGTTGTTGTCGAATATGCCTAGTAGGTTGACTTTTAAAGATCGTAAAATGGAACCCAAAATAAGGTCTACTGTTGGCATTATATTTAGTTTTTGGAAGAGAAGATTAAATCAAACCCACATGTGAAGAAGAGTTGATGTTTAAATCTAATTCAATTTAATTATCTCCTTCATCCTAAATGAAAAATAAAAAAAGCAATTTTAAAACACTAATACCAAAAAAACGTTGCAATTTGAAGTCAAGGATTCAAACCTTGATGCAAATAAGAAATGGAGTGATGTTTGCTTCTAATGTCAAACTCCAAAAATCTTAGCCGTCAAACATATTAAGAAATTCCAATAGAAAAAGCCAATAGTAATCTCATTTTGGTTGAATTGAGTAATTTGAGCTAAATACAATTTATTGCAGACCGAAGCAAAACTTCAGATCCGTATAAAGTTGG